TCCTTCCAGCCCCCTCCTCCCAGGTTTCCCCCTACCCTCTCCTACCCTCTCCCACCTCCTTTTCCCAGTCTCCCCAGAGGTCCATCCCCCCGCCCCCCCAGTGTTGTTCAATAAACTCAGTTTCTATTTTTGAACATACGTGTCTTTTATTTGACATCAGTAAGGGGGGCTAGGGAGGGGTAAGTGGAAGGACAAGAGGGAGGAATGGGACACTAGCCCTGGGTGGGGAGGACCAGGGTGGCTCCGAGGGCTCCTTGGGGTGGACGCTCTCCCTCAGGGCCTCCTGGATCCTGACAGCCCACTGATGGACCCCCTGGTTGGCAGCCTGCAGCAAGTGCAGCCAGGCTGATGGCAATGACCCCACGAGATACACCGGCGTGCCCGGGGCAGCTCTGACTCGATGTGTCCGAGTGCTGTGGTGTCCTGAGTGCGGGCACTCCAAGACAGGACTTCTTTGTTGTCCCTCATCGAGGTAGACAAGCAAGTGGGGAACCCTGAGAACTGTCTGTCTGGGATGGGGATAGGGTCCCTTTAAGCACGGAGCTCAGTTACCCTCAGGCAGCTGCCCCACACACTAAGTCCTAAGCTGATGCCCTGCCAACACTGGTTCCAGCCAGCCTTAACTTCGGTTCAGGGTCCACTTAGTGTGGACGTGCTATTTCGAAATAGCAAAACACTATGGGTATGTCTACACTACCCCGCTAGTTCGAACTAGCGGGGTAGTGTAGACATACCCTATTTCAAAATAGTTTTTGTGTAGAGATGCGTTATTTCGAATTACCTTAATTCGAATTAACTATTTCAAATTAAGTTAACTCGAATTAACGCTGTAGTGTAGACATACCCTTTCAGAGGAAGGTTAAAAAAATCCAGCAGTGGGCAGTTATGGAATTATTTGCTCCCAGGGAAAGTTTCTTACTAAGCCCCCCAGTTCATGTTCTAAATTATAAAAAGTGTCCACACTGAGGTCTATTAGAGCTCCCCTTGCCTGGGCACTAGGTCCACTGATGGAGGGGATGGGGCAATTCCCCCAGGACCTGGCGATTCAAAAGGGCCCGAGGCTACTGGCCCTCTTACCACAGAAGCTCTGGCAGTTGGAGCCCCAGGCCCTTTAAATCATCATACAGAGCTCACTGTAGCCACTCTCCAGGTGGCACTGAGGGATAGATGGGGTGTGGGGGAAGTGGAGTGTACTCTGAGCAGTGTTGAGGGCTGGCTGTCCTCAGCCCCACCCCTTCCTCCCAAGGCCTCACCCCTATTGGGAGCGTGGAGCTAGCCCACCCCACCTTGCCCAGGGGCCAGGAATGTCTGTCAGCCCCTCTGCTGGGCACTCACCAGAGTGTTGCGTTTGGGATTCACACTTCGGCCTGTGAACTCTTAAGTTTCCTTTAGTCTAAGTATGCTGCAGTCCCATCTCTCTCCTTTTTCAAGGCCGTTTTTTCCGAAAAAAAAAATCCATTTTGAAAAAAAGTGGTGGCCATGTTTATGCTAATGAGGCGTGGGATATTTAAATCCCTGCTTCAATAGCAATTTCTATGTGCTTGATTTGCATCCCTTTGTCGACAGAGGGATGCAGTCTAGACATAGCCACAATTAAATAAATAGACAGCAAGTATAAAACAAACAAAAGGAAGTACTTCTATACGTAGTAAAGCTGTAGAATTCATGCCAGAAGATGCTGTTAAGGCCAAAATTACAAGTGTGCTCAAAAAAGAATTGATAAGTTCAAGGAGGCTAGGTCCATCAATGGCTATTAGACAAGATGGTCAGGGATGCTACCCATGATTTGGGAGTTGCTAGCTTCTGACTGCCAGAAGCTGGGAGTGGCTAACATAGGAGGAATTACTTGATATGGCTCTGTTCTGTTCATTCCCTCTGACGTACCTGGCACTGGCCACTTCCAGAAGACAGGATACTGGTCTGAGCCAGTATGGCTTTGTTCCAATAATGGCAACATGAATAATTTCATTAGTAAATGCTATGTATGATTTGCTGGTGTGATAACTTATTTCCTTTTCTCTTTTTGTAATGAGCACCTGGCACTTTTGTGTTTTAACTTCTCAATAGTTTTAATAGCACTTCAGTGCTTTACTAATGCCCACATGCATGCAACTGCAATGAAATGTAGACCATGGAGCACCTGCTCATTTGCTGATTATTTGGGGCGATTTATACAAAGGAGGATTTTGCTGCAGCTATGGGAAACATCATTGCTTGTGCATGGTTCTGGGAAAACATCTAATTTGTTACAAGGCCACGAAAAGAAGTACTTTACTAGTCAGACTACAATTTTAAAAGACCAAATCACTATGCATCACATTCTGATTCTGGGTACAGTGTTGTAAACCAAGATTAACTCTGGACCAGCTGAGATGAAAATTAGGCATGACCTTTTTGTGGGAAAAATATTGGTTTTCAGACCAATTTTGGTTATGCAGCATGCAATATTACAGGAGAGAGTGTAAGCCTGAAGCAACTACTGTATGCCTCACAGGACATTTATACTGGAGAACATTAGTTCTCCTGCTTGTTGGGTCAGAAATGAGATGAGGCATGCTGCCAGTATAATAGGTTTTTGTCAGGGAGACTGGAGAATGAAGGTGCCAGAAAACAGCAATTCTCAAGCACCCTCTGCTAAATAATTTACAACGTGCCAGAAGGCCTTGTGAAGACCCTTCAACTTTCTTAGCCAAGAATCGCTAATTAACCAGAATGGGATCTAGAAACATAGCTTTGACATAGCCTGTCTAACATCTCTATGCCATTCCTATATATATCTTTAACCACCAACTCTTCTATGGGGCAAACATTTACTATATGCCAAATATGAAAAAACAGCTTTCTTTTAACATTAGAAAAAGGAATTCACCTATTTCCGTATAGTGCTTGACGTGATCACGGCACTATCGCTGTGCTATCTTGCCTCAAAACCAGAACAAAAGTTAACATGGAATGCTTTGCTAACATTCTACCAAATCAGCATTTCAAGATCCACTAAAAGTAGGGTGCTGCTCAAAGGCAATTAAAAGCTTTCAGTTTAAAGTGATGCAGGTCAAGAACCTTAAACTGGGCAACTGAAAGGGCTGCAGAAAGAAATGTATGTGCCCATCTTTCCAGTGGAACACATCTTTCCTTTTCCTACTCAGGAATGAAACCCAAGATATGTTGCAATCTGTTCTCCCTCCTCTAGATGCCACTGTCCCATCATCTAACAACTTGACTGCAACACTGAGTGATCACTGCAGCACTCATAGTTCAGATGTAATGTGTGCACATGTTTAGATCTTTATTTAAATCAGGGTGGGGAACCTTAGGAACAGATGCAGCTTACCTGGATCCAGCCCTCGAGATTCAGAGCTCCTCCCCCCACAACACTGGGGAGCCCGCACTGGCACTCCAGCCCCCAGTGAATCCCCACCTGACTGATTTTTCTCTGGGCCAACGGCCCCTGGCCCAAAAAAGTTCCCCCACCCCTGCTTTAAAGTGAGCTCTGTTACAAAGGGTTCCTGTTAAACAGTACTAGTTTCAGGACAGGTGGTTGATAATGAAGGCTGAGATTTTGTGTGATTTTGGTAAATTTTGTTAGCAGGAAATAAAGCCTTAATTCTCTCCCTCCTCCTGAAATTAAAGTCATGCAAATATTTCCTTTCTCTTCCTTATTTTACCAGTGCTGCTACAGATGGAACATTGATTTGGGATCATGATAGCACCAGGAAGGCAATCATGCTTCTTCTCAACAGCCTTAATCATCATATTACTGTCCCACAGTATGTATTGCATATATTTTATTAGAGACATTAAATATGTCTGAAAAATGCAAATACTAACTGCATATAAAATGGTAAGCAAGTTTCCTACTTGCAAGACAGGCAGCAAAAGACGTGCAAAGAATCTACTGGATTATCCATAAATGAAGTATATTTTAAGTTGGACAAGGTCAAAGAATTATTTCAGCAATACATCAGCAGTGGTAACTGTGAACAGTATGTGCTTCTGTACCAAGCACCTCCGTTCTTGTTAAAAAAGGAGTGATTTAGAGAGTCACATCCTGACCTTGCTCATGGTAGGGGCTTTGCAGTCCAGCTGGGACACCAAGTTAGGGCTGGGTAGGAAAATGTTTTCCCATCCAGAGAGAATTTTTGAGATTTCTAATTTTGCCTGTCCCAGATCTTGATGAAAAGTAAAAAACTTAAAATTTTAATCAAGCGACCAATCAGCCAATCAATAGAAACTGTTCAAGAATTTTAAAACATTTCATTTTTATGTCATTGGGGGAGAACTTTACTTTTTTTTGGTTTAAATTTATTAACAGTGGAAACGAAATGTCACGTTGACTCAAAAACTGCATCCTTCTGGTTTGAAAATGTCACAATGTCCCACGTTGCCAATTTCAAAGTGTTTTATTTTTCAATCCCCCTGCTGAGTTGGGAGATTTTGTGAGGCATGCTGGTTTGATGAATTGGCATTTTTTTGGGAAAAAACCCAATTTGTCAAAAATTTCACCAGCAACTTTTACATGGACTGACACATCTGTGCGAGTGGGGAGCCCTCTGGGCAGAAGTCATAGTGCTTCTCTACCTCCTCAAGAGGTGGAGTCACAGATTTCCCCCTACTGCCAGATATGGCAATGGGCTCACCCATTTGATCATCACCCTCCTACATTCCGGCTTAGGTGAAGCAGAACAACCCTGCCTGCCTGGATGATGCTAATTAGTTATACTGCAGTCATGTCGAAGGATTCTAAGGATTAGGGCCCCCTGGTGCATCATGAAGACAGTCCCTGCCCTAGAAAATTCACAAACTGGGATTTGAATAATACACAGCAAGTGAATCAGAACAAAAAAGAGGGAAAATAAGCAAATGGTAGAAAGCGGTGCAAGTCTAAGCTAAGGAAAGCCAAGGCATTATGAATACCTTATGTTGAGCCTCCTCGGTGCTGCCCCCATGCCAGAGCCCTGCCCCTGTGCTGTGTCGTATTTGGGGTAGAGAGATTTCAGAGTAGTTGGGGCATTTCTCATCCCTGTGAGCTATTGTTTTAGCGTGTTTGTAGACTCAAAGGCATTAGTTGCCCACAGAGTCCAATGCCCACTGAGGATGCAAAGGAAAAGGTGGAATTATGTCCTGAGGTTATATTTACACTGCGGTCAAACACTCATGGCTGGCCTGTGTCAGCTGACTTAGGCTCCAGGGATGTTTAATTGGGGTGCAGATGCTTTGGGGCGGGCTGGTGCTTCGGCTCTGAGACCTAGTGACAGAGGAAGGTTCTAGAGCCCAGGAAGCATGCCATCCCTGAACATCTACAAACTGACAGGTAGCCCACGTCTGAGTCAGCTGACACAGACCAGCTGCCAGTGTTTGATTGCGGAGTAGACCTACCTGGAGGCTGGTGAGGGTGGGATTTCTGTCTGGTGGGAAGTATGATGGGCGAGGTGTTAAAATGTTCATGTCTGACGTGTGATGGGGGTGAGGGAAAACAAATGTCGCAGCTTTGGTCACCTACATTCCCGTGTTTTAAAATGTATGGCAAAGGCACTCACTGTGTTGAATGGGCACCTTTTCATGCTTCTCTGAAGGAGCTGATTGCTTCGAAATCTTGAAGTGAGACAGTAAATGTTGAGTGTGCTGGGGCATAAACTTACCTTTCTTGAAGGCCCACCGGTTTCATTCTGAAAGGTGACGGACTGGCAGACAGTGGAGGTTTGATCTCAGGAACACATTGGCCTTGAGGATCCACTATGACATTTACAACTTTAGGAGCCTGTTCAGGTTGGACCATTCTGTTTGCTGTCTTGTACTCAGACTGAGTTGTCTGCAGGGAAATGGGTGAAAGGTGGATCTCCTGTTTTTTCTCCTTATCTTGTCGAAGCGAGAACTGAATTTTTTCCTTTAATCTGTATAGAACCTATAGAAACAGAAAGGAAAGAGCATCAGTTTTTATCTCAGCCAATGTGTAAACAAAGTAAAGGAAGAATTTAAAATGCCTTAGCTCAATCTATATAATGTCAATGATTTCTAGAAGGATCGCCCAACTTATGGGCTGAAGTGTTTCCAACAAAAATTATATTATATAAACCATGACTTGCACACAAATAGCAAGAAGTTGTCATTGGTAACTAATAATTATTTTTAATACAAAAAGTTACTGTGGGTGTATTATTAAAGAGATAAATAAAACATAATGGGAGATCGTTGTCACAAAATCATTGGAAAGAAATACTGGTAAACAAAGTAATTATAGAAAAGTTTCACAAAATATTAACACTGAACATACAATGGCGCAGTATATCATCTGATGCTTATGATACATCCAGACTAATCTCTCCCTAACTAATGTCCTAAATTTGTTTTAGAGTCTCAAAACACCTGTTTACTCATAGCACAAAAGAGCTGTTACCAGAACAGAATAATTGTTTGGGTTACTTTTGCAACACCATTGTGCTATTATTTCAGTACTTGGATTTATAATACTTCAAAAATTCATTTCAGGATTAATTTTGGCTTTAAATGTTTCAGAAATGTCACATAATTTCCTTTGTTTTCTTGGGAAATGTAGGTAGAAAATTTCTTGTAGCTAGAGACATTTTTAAACTCTTCTCTAACAATGAAAAACACAATGATCATTAATCCTTAATAAAACCCAAATTTCCAAATTTAAAACTTGTGTTTTTACAATAGCCTAAACTGGAGTGGGGAGCCCTTTTTGGGTAAGAGTCATTGTTCCAAAGAAAAATCAGTCGGGGCTGCACACAATTGAGAAACAAAAAAAGCACTCCTCACCAGCATGGGCTCCCCAATGCTGGGGGAAGCCCTGAGTCTCAGGAGTCAAACCCAGGTAAGCTGGGGCTACATCTGGCCCCCAGACCTTAGGTTCCCCGTCCATGGCCTAAACATTAACATCTAAAAACTCTTTCTAACTTGGATTCCATTATCCACTCATTACCCCCTACACATGGGTATCGCTATCTTTAGTAACCACTTTTCATAATGTAATATTAATTCTGAATTCAGCTCTGCTGACTTCATTGGAGTTCCATGTCAAAGATACACTGTTGTGGCATTGACTGGGAAGGTAACAAGAGACCCATTTTTGTGATTACAAAGGACCCCAACACTGTATCTCCTTAGCAGTTATGGTATTACTGCTTTTGGACGAAGAAACAAACACTTCAGAGCAGTGATTGTGCTATTTTAGATGATCGTAATAGTCTTTTCTAGCTTAAAAAAAATCCATGAAATTTACGATGTGGGAAGCACTATCACATCTCTATAACAACCATACTGTTTTTCTTTTCCAAGTCCCATAAATAATTTAAGATAAGTCTATTTTTGCACACCACAACCCAGAGTCATTTCCAGGAACTTTTAGGGTGCTTCCACTCATTGAGGATCCATGAGTACTCTCACTCAAGCCCCCCTGTAAAGACAGCTAGGTCAACACTGCAATGTTAAATCTGAAATATACATGCAATTTTCAGTATGCAAATTATGTATCTTTTTCCAATTTACTTTCGAAAGAGGCTTTTCTGAAATTTGGCGCATCTACACAGTGCCAAATTTTAGAAAAAAGTGTTTTTCTTTACTCATCCCTTATTCCTCGTAGAAAGAGGTTTACAGGGATAGTGAAAGAGCACAGTCTAGACATAGCCAATGTTTCATTGCTGAGCCCTGTGTGAGAGACTGGATATATCTTGTGCATCCATTTTCAGGGTAATATTCAAAGATTAATATTTCTGTATGAGCTGGGAATTGTCCCATTTAGCAGCAATTCACCCATCAGGCAAGACTGAGTCTATTTCATTTTTGGGGAAAATAGCCTTAACCATATTACAAAAGCTGACAAGTATATTGGATAAATTAAAACAAGCATTTGATATATTCTAAACTACTTTCCACCTACAAACCATTTTGGGCTGACCTGCTTTCAGATAATGGCTAGATACTTGGTTATTGGAATAACACTCTGCCATTCATGGCACAACATTTTAAATCGCATATTTACATTGTGTTTTTCAATGTGGTGTCTCCTGTGGGGGCACATTTACATCTTTGGGACCATCTAGACTAGCATCATTAGTTATTTCTCTTCAATACTCTTTTATTGAAAAAACACTACACTTAGTTCCAACGGCTGTGAAATGAGTTAAGGAACCATGTTTGGTCTTCCTTTAGCCATGGTTTCCGCTAATAAGGCTTGCCCAAACAGTGCGGATGTGGAAAAGTCCAGTCGATATCACATTTAAAAAGAAGTTTGTGATGCAGAAGGCGGCTCCAGGCAGGGGTAAAGGTGGAGGATGGAGAAGACTGTTGTTGGGGTGTTGGCTTTGAGGTAGGGCCAGGGATTTAGTGCCTTATGCAAAAATCACAGAGCAATTTAAGCAACATTGAACAAGGGCTTCTAGAAAGAAAAATGCACTCTTGGACTGGCTAGAAATCCTTGGCTAATCGCCTACTCTTCTTTCAGCAATTCTATTAAGCACTGAACATAAATGTTTATTCAGTATTATGGATTAATTATTAATTAATTTAAATCAATCTCAAGTTTCCATAAAAACAAAATAATAAAAGGCCAAGTTTGATTTTCTCTGCTTTATTGTGTCATATTAATTACTTGTATATATTCCTACAGTTAGAGTGTTTGTGAAAATCCTGAAAAGTTTGTGGAGCCTGAAAGCAGTAGAAACTTTAGAAAAAATGATCAATCACCATGTGAAAATTTGTCCTGGAGAAGTGAATTTTCTGATATTCAGTATGCTCCTAATTAAAATTTTCTAAAATTCAATCAATGGGTAAAAAAACCCACCATGTGATTTTGATAAATACTACCCTGCAAAAATGACTGACAAATTACATTTTACAAATGACTAAAGCCATTAAAAATGCGAATTTGAACTATTTAGACAAAAAAAGGATCAACATTTTCTTGTATTTTTCTTCTTGCATGTGAAAAGTTGTCCTGCTTTTGAATTGCAGAATTTGAAAACTTTTGATGGGAAAAAAGGGTAATTTTTAAAATAAATATTAACCCATTTATCAACCAAAATGGATAGTCTATTAATTACTAGGGCTGTAAAATCCCGATTAACTGGTTAACTGATTAAAAGAGGGAAAGGGAGGGGAAAGAGGGGCTGGAGTGGCCCTCCCTTGTCCATCATGGCTAAGCTCGAGCAGTCCCCCTGCCATAAGCAGGGGCTGATCCAGCTTGGCTAGAACAGCCCCTGCATGTGGCACACCCAGGTTCACTTAAAGAAGGGCTACTCCAGTCAGGTTGGAGAATCCCTGTCCGCAGTGGGCCCCATGGGGTTGGAGCAGCCCCTTGCCCTGGGCAGGCAGAGAGTTGTTCCAGCTCCCAACATTAAACCGGAACTGGTAACTATCACCTGTTACGGATGATGCTTACCAGTTAACCAGTTAACCGATTACCTATCCAGTTCCTATTTATGAATAAAGAGCACAATCTGGATTATTTTCAGATTATTTAGAAACAAAAAGGCAGAATTGATAAGAAATATTAAAAATGAATAGCTCAACCTGCTCTATCAAATATTGTATTACTTTTATGAAAATTATTAATGATTTGCTATTACATTATCTATTAAAAATAAAAGTCACAGGGAGACATGTTCTCCTTAGAATACCATTGTTAAATACTGATAGTTCATTAGTCTGCAGCTTAATAAGTTGTAAATGATGTATGGTGCTTCCAGAAGAAATCAGCCGATAGTGAGGAATGCAGAAGAGGACCACTGGTGATAAATCCCTTCTGAGACAGAAAGGGTACAGTTATTTTCATGATAGGTCGACCTAGAAATAAATAGGTGGTCCTGGAGGGTGGCCTGGGAGGAACAATTTATTGGTCTGAATTTAGTTCATGTAGTACTGTATTACAGTATAAAGCAATACACTACATAATAAAACACTGCAGTTCATTAATAAATTCCACATAAATTAAAAATAAAACATGTAAAGACTTTTAATGCAGTTTTCTTTCAATGTAAACATTGTGCAGTTAAATATCATGCTTTGTAAAACCCAATTAAGAGAAAAGGCTGCACTGTTTTATAATTCCCATAATAAATCTTTATCATAAAGGTTTAACTGAGATAGTTCAACTAGCTTTCACCAGCCACTATTATACATTTGTTTAATTAGTTTCCACATCACATTTTAAGACACACTCCCAGGTAATCTAGATCCAGATGTGGCCAACAGCACCTTGGATGCTCCCATAAGTGGTTAGGGATAAATATGCACCTCATTTTGGTACCTCATTAAAAGCCCAGCATTATGTAGCCTATAGAATTTTTGAGTGCATCCATGTTATGCGTGTTAAATTTACACTTGTGGAGTTGGAAATTAAGTAGATAAAAAGAGGAAGGCAGAACAGATGTCCAAGGTATTTTGTACTCTGCTTCCACAAAGAGAGCAACTAGACAACAGAGACAAAAAAAGTTATCACATCCTGTTTCCAAAGTTACAGTGACATCTTTGATAATGCAATGTGTCTTATTCGCCATGGCTGCGTCTAGACTGGCATGATTTTGCGGAAATACTTTTAACGGAAAAATGTTTCTGTTAAAAGTATTTCTGCAAAAGAGCGTCTAGACTGGCCTGTGCCTTTGTGCAAAAGCATCCATGCCAGTGTAGACACTCTCTTGCGCAAGAAAGCTCTGATGGCCATTTTAGCCATCGGGCTTTCTTGCACAAAAAATTAATGTTCCTGTCTATACTGGCCCTCTTGCGCAAGTATTCTTGCACAAGAGGGCTTATGCCTGAGCAGAAGCATCAAAGTATTTGTGCAAGAAGCACTGATTTTGTACATTACAAAGTCAGTGTTCTTGCACAAATTCTCGCGGCCAATGTAGACAGGAGGCAAGTTTTTGCACAAAAGTGGCCACTTTTGCGCAAAATCTTGCCAGTCTAGATGCACCCCATAAGAAATGGAAGACAGGAAGAGGAGAGGGAGGATAGAATTTTGTCCCCTGAATTTTCATTGAGGCATATCAGCTCAAATAAGATTTTGTCATAAAAAAATCTATAATTTGCAGACCAAACTGCATATCTTCATCTCCAACATTATTTCCTGCTTAACATATGGAAGTGAAAACTGAAAATTAGTAAAGGTATATGCCCTTGAAAGCAAGTATGTTTGAAAAGCACTAGGTATTAAATTGAACAAATTTATGCCAAGATTAATCAGAGTTCACAATCACTTATCTCTAAAATTACCCAGAAAAGAAGATGAGAACTATTTGGGCTAAGAATGAAGACAAATCTCCCCATTGGGCAGCTGGAGGAACATGAAAGAGGGGCAAACCAAAGAATCCCTTCACTGAATACTACTCAGAGAAAGAAAATGTATGGAACTTAACATAGAGGATATGCAAAGAATGAATTAGAGTGCCCTGGAATAGTGGAGCCTTGCTTATGCCCTACGTGATGACTGGCAGCGTGGGAAGGATTCAGATTTTGAAGTTATAATCAACCATTTTCTTTAAAAAAAAGCAAATTGAAAAAGATTTCAGAGTGTCTGTCTAATATCTCCAGTATTAATGCGCACTCAGGGTCTTTTTTGAGTTTCATTCATTGGAGTAGAATAGCAAGGATGTTCACTGGACATCCAGTGGGTAGATTCTTGGCCACTAGACATATACTTCATGCCATGTCAGATGTCATGTTAAAAGAGCAGTTAAATAACACACTTATCCTTTACATTTTTGAATAATGGTAATATCAGTATTTCCAATGTCAAATTAATATTGCATTAGAATGATAGCATTACACAATACCATATCACTATGCATAAAACATAGCAAGTCAATGTTGTGTTTTTATTACTACATAATGTATGAAATAAAATACATTAGACATCTGTAGTGATATCGAGCGCTTCTCTGACCTCAGTAAAACCCTTAATTAGGCATCACTCTCATGGTTTATCATGTTACTAGCAGCCCTCAATTAAATTACTGCATAGTTATCGTGCATGGTTAAATATCCATTATTTCTGAAGATTACCATTAGTGATATTTTATATCATATATAAAACACTCTAAACATAATATGTATTTCTATTACCAGGCTTCGGCCTCCCAACATTATCAGAGTTACCTACTGTTACTTAGAGGCTGAGTTTTGTACTATTTTATGTTAGCCTTTTTGGAATAAAGGGTGCAGGATTCTGTCTTTCAGACTGATGTAAGCGATAAACAAATGAAAACCAAAAGAAGATAAAGCAACAGACTTACCATGAAACATGTTACTACAATGACAAAGATGCTGAGAAATATAACAACGGCATAAAATCCTTCTTTGCTCCAGATTTTGTCTGCTTCATGCTGGCCTTGCAAAACATTTTTCTTTATTAAAAACAAAACAAAAAAAGAGGTTGAAGTTCTACAATAGCATGTGCAGAAAAAAGAGTTGTTTTCAGGCACTATGCACTATTTCAGATTTGTTACAGTACACATTCTATACGATATGGTTCTGACCGCTGCTACTTCCATATCTATCTAAAATAAGCAAACAGGCTGAACTATATGTGTTTGCCACGGTAATCTTAACACACCCAAAGATCTTCTTAGTGAATGTTGAACTAACATTTCCATAGATGCAATGGGCTAGTCTTAAGTAAATAAGACTCATTCTTTCTTGGAAACTACCTGGCCCTTCAGGTAAGAGGGTAGTACTCATATGCGTGCTGCGGAAATTGCTCTCTGTCTCATTCTGCTGCATCTCCTCCCACAACACCTACACATTAGCCTACATATTATCTACACCTTACACAGAAGTGAAAACAGGTGCAAACAGAATCTCATGATGTATTAATAAGCTGAGAAGCCCTGACATTCTAACCATAAGAAAAATTCAAAACAACCTCTCCCCTCTTATATTAAATTCTGATTGCTTTAACTATAATGTCCTAACTTTAGGGACTCCCAGTGATATTAGATTTTATTTCTAAAGCAGCTCTGTATGCTGAAAAATGACGAGCTGTTGGGGAATACAAAATTAAAAAAAGAATAATGTTTCTTCTGTTTTTATTACTGTGGAAACCTAGTTGGAATAAAAAATTTTAAGATTCTGGCTACATTTTCAAATAAAAAAAGCTTAATTGAAACTTGGTTCTAATTGAGTCCTCAATCTAACTATAATACATTACTCAGAATATGATGTATATACTTTCAGCAAATTCTATTTTCACCCATGTGTTTCAAAGGGAAAATTATTACTCACAAATAGTATTGAAAGAAATTAAGTTGCACATATTATCACAGGAAGTCACACTTCTAACCTCAGTTTATTTGTTTATTGTATTTCTTGAATAAAATCATCACATTGAGAGAAAAGAAGGCATTAAATAGGCATTCAGTACACATTTTTGACCTCTCAATGCTCCCCTTTCACACAAAAGCCCTGTAGCGGGGCCTTGTTTGTAACTTAACCGGCTATTTCACGTGAAAACTGTAAGTTGCCTTGTCTTCACTAGGATTTCCCTCAATTTAATCAGCTTGAATTATGAACACACTTTTTTTCCTATGCCTTAACTACACTTGAGGAGGATGTAGTTACATATAGTTGTGCACTGCAATGAAGGGCAAGCTCCATCTACCCTCACTGCAATGTGTAGCTACAAGTGGCTGTGAAAAGCTCCTGCAGCAGGAAGATAGGGGAGGAAATGCTCTGGCAGCAAGAGAACTTCTGGAGCATTTCCCTGCCACCTTGCTCTTGTCAGAGCCTTTCACCACTGCCATAAGCTTTTACTGCCATCAGCAGCAGGGAGGCAGTGGGATAATAGCAGTGTAGACATGGGAGGCACTGTGCAGCTGGCCTGTGTCAACTGACTCCGACTCCAGGGCTGAAGGACAGTTTAACAGCGGAGTAAATGTTTGATACGTTGGGATCCTGCAGCCCCAGAATGTAGGCTACAGCTGAAGCCCAAATGTGTGCACTGAAATTAAACAGCCCCTTATTCTGAGCCCTGGGAGCCTGAGTCAGCCCTGGGTCTGCAACAGGCATTTAACTGCAGTGTAGGCATACCCATAGGGAACTGTGTAGGGTCCATACTGTGGTGGTCCAGGTGTGCTTCTTCTCTATTCACCAAAGTAGTGCCTCACCTCACTGCTTTTATATCCATACCAACTGAACATGAAGTGCATGTATGCTACATACTGCTGCAAGTATAGACACACCCCTAGTGAAGACACAGGACGCTCTATATGAAATATTCCATGAAGTTGACTTTGCAGTCTTTGAAAAGTCCAGGAGTTTCACAGAGATGGTGAGTATGTGGTCTGCAAACTCAACAAAGCCCTCAAATCCATACTGATCCCTGGGAATGGTTTGGAGCTATGTTGTCATTGGACTTGCTAGCAGCAGCCTGGGTAAATCATGCTTTGAGATCTGCCAGGTCTCAAGGGACCTTGGCATAATGAGCAATGCTACAGACCTTGACAAACCCCTTTGACTTAGAACCCTCCCAAACAGGCAAAAACCCTGTCTGTGTAGAATTTGAGTGGAGAAGTTTGTATGCACTGACAGGAAAATGGACTTCAGGGAAAGAAAAGAGCAGGTGTCGCTCTGTTCAATTCAACACAGACTTGCTTCCCTCTAGTTGCAGAAAAGAATAGAAGCATTTAGTGCTTAGTCTGTGCAATGTACAGAGGGTAGTTTCATGGAAAACAGCACACACCGATAAGTATTTGATAGGATGGTTAGGGATGCTTTTCTTTAAAAAATTAACATCAGTTGACTAATAATTAGAAAAGAAGGCTTAAAAGCAGGATTAAAACCTCCATAAACAAGAATATTCTTTTGTTGAGATGCCAGTCTTCCACAGACTGGAGGCCAGATGGAGTACCTCTTACCCACACTGGGAAAATGAAACTCACGCAGTGCACCCACTAAAATCAATTGGAGCATTTGGGTCGGTAACTGCTCACCAATGTCAACACTCGGTTCCACAACCTGGCTCTAGGGACTTTGTGTGTCCATAGGCTGAAACCAAATTATACATAGCCTTCTTGGAGTGATCCACTCAAATAGTTGAAGAGATTTCAATGGTACATCATGCATATGATACTGGACAATTACTTTTGCTGAAATTGTTGCTACTTCTATTTACACAACAATGATCTCACGGCTTTCACTATGGCTGTGTCTACACTGGCACCTTTTTCCGGAAATGCTTAAAACGGAACAGTTTTCCGTTATAAGTATTTCCGGAAAAAGAGTGTCTACATTGGCAGGATGCTTTTCCGGAAAAGCCCTTTTTCCGGAAAAGCGTCTGTGGCCAATGTAGACGCGCTTTTCTGGAAAAAAGCCCCGATCGTCATTTTCGCGATCGGGGCTTTTTTGCGGAAAAGACTACTGTGCTGTCTACACTGGCCCTTTTCCGGAACAGTTTTCCGGAAAAAGGACTTTTGCCCGAGCGGGAGCAGCATAGTTTTTCCGGAAAAGCAGCTGATTTCTTACAGTAAATCATCACTACTTTTCCGGAAATTCAAGGGGCCAGTGTAGACACAGCCTATATGTTTGGTAGTGTTTCACCAAATTCAGATATCTCAGTACAGTAAGGAGGTTATTTTATTTAGTTTTTATAGGCTAGGCCTGGGTCTTCATACAGGCTTAAGGCCTCACGTTAGGGCAGCTCCAGCATTGATCTATTAACTGTTAATAATTAACTGTTTGACTCTGGAGACATTACATGACAACCTTTTCATATTTCAGACCTTCCACGTAGAAATCTGGATAAAAAGCAGAAGATCCCTGAGCATCAGCTGAGCTGCCCTTTCGTTAGTAAATAATTGCTGTCTTATACCTCCCCATCTAGGACCAGATAAACTAGAGAGTTGACAAGCTAACAATTTTTGAACTATTGGCTGAGGGACTTTAGTTGCTTTAGCTTTAGTACATTAATTAGTGGAATAACAGAAGATTTTTATGGTAGAACTTACTATATGAGTAGTTGAATCTACTGTAATTCTTCTTTGTTATATAAGCAGGGCACATTTCCTCCTGGTTTTGTTTTTCTCTGAGTCAAATCTAACCATTTTGAAATGTTAGGGAACTGTCTATAAAAAGGCAAAATGACACACCGCAGCTCTAACACTGGCTGGCATGCCATTTTGGAACACTGAAATACTACCTTAGCCTAACAAAAGAAGTCTGTTCCCTTCATCCAAATGTAGAGTAGCAAGGATAGCAGAACTCTCACTTAAACTCTCCTGTAATTATGACAGCAGGGGTTCTGGACTATTGTAGCTGAGTCACTTCATGTCAATGATAATAATATAATTTGTGAGACAGTGTCAATAGCTTAGGACAATTTTTTTCCGAGTTTCTAAGCACCTAGAGACAAAAGTTGTGCCCATAGAATCCTCCTTGTTGAAGGCAGAAAGGTGAATAGAATAAGAAAAAAACAATAACCTGTCATCAAGTGTCTGCTAATTAAATAAACAGGACTTGTAACATATTACACTAGCCTGGGGAAATGCCACTTAGCCTTAGACAAGGTATAATGTAATGCTTCGATTACCTCACCGGGCTTGTCTACACACAAACATGCACCAATTTAATTAAACTGGTACAATGTCCTTTGAGGACACTCTTTAGTCTGTTTAGAAATGGTTTGTATCAATATAGCTTAAGCCAAATGGAATCATTTTAAGCTAAATTGATATATACTATTTCTAAATGGATTTATGCATGTCTGCATCAGGGTCTGCTCTGGTTTATCTAAACTGGTGCAAGATAGTGTGCAGACCAGCCCTCAGTTTTCTTCTAAACATTTTTTCTCTAAGGGTATGTCTACACAGCAACTTAGTCCATGTCTACACAGCAGGCAGTTATTTTGAAATAATGTCGAAATACTGTCAAGCTGGAGGACCTCTTACCCCAACTCCTGTACCCTTCATTGTATGAATAGTAAGGGAAGTCAGAGGAGCAGTTCTCTATTTTGAAATAAGTGCTGCGTAGATGCTCCCAATTTCTAAATAAACTATGCAATTGATGTAGCTCAATTTGTGTAGCTTATTTTGAGTTAAGCTTTTCTCTGTAAACAAACACTAAGATACATTTGGATCTATGCTGTTATGATGGCACCTCTAGTGGATCATCCTCAGGGACAAAGAAAATGAATGCCTGACCTCTGGTAATGTAAAGAGGCAGGAGAGAAGTACTCCCTAGAATAGACCAGGGCATACAATTCAAAGTGCTTTATGTGTAGTTTTGGGCTTCCAAACACCAAACAAGATCCAATGTAATTTGATTACAGCCTCATGTATGTGTGAACTCAGTGGTCTCCTTCCCTTTTTGCTTTAATTATTATTTTCTTTTGTGCCAAGATGTAAAACCAAAGTCAAATGCAATATCTGGAAAGCACTGCAGGTATGGTAGTGCTGGTCCTGATTTGAAATAGATTAGCTTTCAAAAATAAATATGGTAATAAAAATAGCAAGATTTTTTGAGGGCTCTCTCTTTTTGGGTCAGGTAAAAAAAAATAAAGTGGGCAAACTTTCAAATTTCTCACTCTTCCAGAAAACAAAGTCAACAATACAAATGCAATGCTCCCAAAGCCATTCAAGGCAGTTTTCCTCTGTATGGACCAAGCAGAAGGTTGGATAATCTTGAAGAGAAGAATTATCATGAAATTTGAATTGTATCTGGGTTTTCACAAAAGTTTTCAGACCAGTCAACTCGCATAACAAAGACCAAAGCTTTTTAGGCCATGTCTACATATATTGTACTGCAAAAGGCAGCTGCGTTGATACATGCTGTAGCATGTCTGGTAAATATGTTCTATGCCAATGGGAAAGAGCTCTCATGATTATGATTATTCTATGATTCTATGATGGCATAAGAAAATCACCTCTGAGTGGCAGACTCTGTATTGGCAAGAGAAACTCTCCTACCAACATGTCATTACCAAGTCAGTTTAATGCATGTTGATCAGGGAGTTGGAAGTGTTTTTTCCACACCTCTTAGGAACATAAACTGTGCTGACTTAAGTTGTAATGTATAGACAGAACCTTAGTGAGTATATAATCCAGTCAAGCTTTAATTAAATATTTTACCAGCATTTTTTTAAATTATTGTCTTGCAATAATAATAAAACAGTTTTATTAGCTACACATTCCCCTCAGCATCAGTACCTTAGCCTAAGAACTAACACAGACCTTAATAATTATATTTAGAGTTGACTAATTTTCTGTAATCTCTAATATGTTACACATGTGATAACATACCTCTGGAGAAACCTCTGTAATTCCAAAGTGGGATAAACTTTGATGCAGAATATTGATATTAAGTGAACGCAACACCTCTTCAGATGGAAGTGCCTCAGAAATTCCTGGTTTTTGATTGATTGGAGATACGAACAGCTCAACACAGTTCTTTTCTCCCTAGAAAACACAAATCATACAAAAATGTTGGATTCTGAATCATTCCTGCCAGCCACAAATCTTGTTTTTTCTATTTTACTCCTTTACTATTAGATTATCCTCACCTGAAAGTCACCATTTTTAGATTTTTGGCCTTCAGTTAAACTACTTTGTATCATGATATATTGGTACTTTATTGTTTGCAATCCAACCGCAACACAATTGCAACTTTATGTGCTGATGATATTTTCATTGTAATGTCACAATATTTTCATTGTAATGTCATGCTATTAGAAGCCACAACATGTGACAGGACACTAAGGCCATGTCCATACTAGGAAACTATTTCAAAATTAGTAAATTCAATTTAATAACTGCCGATTTAAAAACATTGAACTCAAAATTAGTCCGAGGCAGGCTCCGTTAATGTGGACACGCTATCTCAGACTTAGAACTCCAGGAAGCATGAGGAGTAATTAGTTTGAATTACTCTGGGGAGTAGTTATTTTGAAATAACAGCACTAGAGTGTCTACACTCCTTTATTTTGAAATTACTATTTCGGAATTAGCGCTACTCCTGATGAAAAGCAGGAGTACAGATATTGAATTAAGCAGCCTGTTATTTTGAAATAACGGACTTGGTAGTGTGAATGCTCCGCTTATAAATTCGACCTGAGGAGGGTTATTTTGAAATAAAGTCCTAGTGTAGACCATGTCCAAAAGTCTGTTTGGAAGTTGTATTGATTCCATTGAAATGCCAGCTCATATTGCTGGTATCTTACAATGTATAGGATGGGGATAAATTAACTAAAATCAGAATAATCTCATTTTTTAGGAAGTACATCCATCCTGCTTCACCCCTTTCAATGTTATAAAGAAACAAATATGGCCTTTCTATATTTAAAGTATCAAGCCAGTACATTCAGACATATAACTTCACAGTCATCAGATTTAAAGGTACAACAAGTAGTTCTGTAGCACCTTAGATTCTCTCTCTCTCTCACTCACTCACACACACAGTATCATGAGCTTTCATGGGCAAACCCACTTCCTCAGATGAGCAGAGTGGAGACAGATTTAAAGAGACCCTTTCAAGGATTATTATCTTAAATTCAACCTCTGTATCAACCATAGCATACTGAGGCTGTCATTGTCTCCTACATAGAATACATTTTTATAGTTTCTACTGATTTCTTCATTGGAAGCAGAATTCACCACTCCTCTGAAACATGAGTTCAGTCCCCACAAACTCACAGATCTGTTGATTAGTCAAATGAAAGAGGACATCCGTGGAGATTCCTAGCCTCCATATTGACATGCGTTCTTCTCCATCTTCTATTAGACCTCAGACCTTATAACTCTTCCAGGAACCTGGTTTCCAGGGGCTTCCCCACTGCAGATGCACCTGAAGCAGTGGTATTTTCAGATTGCACAAGGGGCACCAGTGTCATTTATTACAGATAATCTTTGTGGGTGTCATTTACTACAGATTATTACTCTCTGTAGGGTTTTTGTGTATGTGTGTGTCGAGGAGGGAGAGCAAGAGATTCCAATGGAGATCTGCCACCTTCTCTTTCCTGTCCCATTCACAGAGTCAGAACCAATAGCACCCATGGAGGGATTTCTATGGCATTTGCAGAAAGGGGAGCTTGCTGAGGAGATGGGTTTCCCACTTTTTTGGTGCCTCCCTTAGTCAGGTTTTCCTTTGCTCACAGAAAGGACTTTGTACTTCATGTTAACTTAGGGCTTTGCTCATGAGAAATGCTATATCGAGGGAACTGCTGTCTAGTTGTAAGAGCAAAAGGAATAGGAATAAGGATGTTTCAATTACACTATTAATGCTTGTGACTGCTGACTCACTGTATAATCTTGGCTAAACTATATAACCTCTTAGTGCCCCATTTGAGACATATAGAAAACGGGTAGATTAATACCTTCCTCCTGTGGGGGTTGGCTAATATTAATTAACATTGCTAATGCCTTTTGGGCTAGGTGGAAGGGCAAAATGTTAATATGTCTATCCTCAAACCATAAATTAAAAGAGAAACTAAGAAACCATAGTCAATGGGAAAACACAGTATGCAGCATGCTCTCAATTACCCAGACTCCTCGGAGCACATTAGGAAAGCAACTATGTGACATGTTATGCTTGAGTATTTTAGGACCCAGAAGGAAAGTTCTTTTAATTTTAATTGTACTTTTCTCTGTGTAGGCCTTATAACTTTCACATTTTGGTGAATGTGGGGGACAAGATTGAGCACTCCCTGCCATGAATGACGTTCCCAAAGAAAATGAAAAGAATGTCATTGCATTGCTATTGATCTTTCCTCGTGTACAGCTTGTGTGAGCCTCTCACAAAGACATTATTTGAAAGGTATTTTTGATCCCTTTTGGCATATCAAATCCTATCATAGTGGGAAATACATTTCTATTGAATCTGTCAATTCTTTTCACTGGTATTCAACCCACACCTTGCCTGAAAAAAGCAACCTTCACTTGGAACAGTAATGGAATGCTAGCAGCACACAGGTTGTATGTTTTTTCTCTTTAATGGCAGAAATGACTTGTGGAAAACATAAGTTATTGTTTAATACTATGAGCCATTAACTTTAACCTTTAAGTACTTTATATGGTACAGTATACCACACGGGAATGCCCTGTAGCCCCCATATTCATCATTTGTGTATAACTGTGATACTGCGAATGAAACATGCCATGTAAGCAAAGAAAAGCCAAGCTAAAAGGGAGACACAGAAAAGTGGGAAAACCATCTCCTCAGCAAATTGCCTTTTCTAGAAACCCCACAGAAACCCCTCCAGAGAGGCTATTGGGTAAAACCCATTGTTCTATCTAAATATGTATATCATTAGTGCATATGAAATTATGAGTTTGTCTTGTATGGTTGGCACTAAAAAATGCCACAAATTTGGGAATTGTCTGGTATTAGCTCCCCAGAGACAACACCAAGGGAGGTTCCCAAGACCTAAGTAGCAGTCAAACAACCATCTAATGCCATTGTTCACCAACAGAGTTACAATTTAGTGACACACTGGCATGAGGCTACACCAGGGAAATTTCTCTACCTTGTCTGGTGACTCAGCCTAGTCCCTGTGCCTGCTCCCATCCCCAGTCCCTTCCCTGTGACCCCAGCGTCAGACCCTTGTGCCTCCCCAGCTGCACTCAGCTCCAGAGGAGAAGGCAGTAGAAGGGAGGCAGGGCAGAAGAGCAGCAAGGGTGCCATTTAAGGGGGACTGAGGGAGCAGTAGATCACCCCAAGTTTGACCCTCTGGATTTCATACTTGAGGTCTGCTTAAAGCCCATGTCCAAACTCCAGAGGCAATTCTTAAATACAACAGAGCTGTTTGCAGCTTTGCCTTTGAGACAGGGAGTTTGTTATAAAAAGAGGGTGCCAGAGTGATTAAGAATAATGAAAGGCTGGGCATTCAAGTAATTGAAGGATCATTAGATCATCATGAAAACATTGCCGGGTATTCCACGTAACAGATAGAAAAAAAGAGTAGGAAAAAAGAGTTGGGCTATTGGGATTTGCATTTGGATCAGTGTGTTAAACTTATAAATGTTCTTGAAAAACTTATAAATGACTAATCTAAAGCTGACTGCAAAGAGTTACAGAGGGATCTCACAAAATCAGGTGATTGGGCAACGCAAGGGCAGATGAAATTCAGTGATGAGAAATTCAAAGCAATGCACATGGAAAAATATAATCCTAGCTATAGATACTGTGGCAAGGGCCCCTCTTCCCCAAGCCACCACTGGGTAGGCCTCCTCCCCTTAGCCCCCGAGTTTGGAGTTTTGCATCAGGCCTCAATAGTAGGGAGCCCGGCCAGGTGCCCACAGGCTCCCTCCCTAGCTGCCTTTACCTAATTCTGGTCAACATTGTTCTCTCTGATTTCTTCCTCTCTGCCTCTCCACCACCTTCCTTTCATCCTCTCACTCTCCCCTCCAGCCTTCAACTGCTGAGGCTTTTAAAGGCCCTCAGACAGACAGCAGAGAAGTCAGCTGGCCCCAATTTGCCTGAGCCAGCTCCCTCCCAGCAGCATCTAATTGGGCTGCAGTTCTCTGCTTCTTCTCACAGGGTTTTTTCCCTTTTGGGGCTGCCTTTCCCTTCTCTGCAGCAGCTCCCTGGCCTGACCCTGTCACAATACAAAAATGATGGGATCTAAAATAGCTGTTACCACTCAAGAAAGAGATGTTGGAATCCTTGTAGATAGTTCCCTGAAAAAATCTGTTCAATGTGCAGTGACAGTCTAAAAACTAAAAAGCTAACAGAATACTAGGAATCATTAGGGAAGGAATAAGATAAAATACCATATTGCCTCTATATAAAGTTATTGTATGCCCACAACTTGTATGCCTACAACTTTAATACTGAATGCTGGTGTAGTCACCCCATCTAAAAAAAAAGATATATTGGATTTGGAAAAGGTACAGAAAGGGCAACAGAAATGATTAGGGGAGTAAGGAACAGCTTCCATATGAGGAGAGATTAACAAGACTGGGACTTTTTTATTTGAAAAAAGAAATAACTAAGGGGCCGGGATATGTTAGAAGTCTAGAAAATCATGAATGGCATGGAAAAATAGAATAAGGAAATATTCATTCCTTTACTAATATAACACAAGAAGCTGACCCAACTACATTTATAGGCAGCAAATTTAAAACAAACAAAATAGGCAACCGGGGATGGATCATGATGATTGCCTCTTTTGTTTATTCTTTCTGAAGCACCTGGCACTGGCCACTGTTGGAAGATAGGATACTGGGCTAGAAGGACCATTGGCCTGAGCCAGAATGGCCAGTTTGATGGTGTTATATAGAGCTGAAATGTATCTGCCCCCTGCTGTAACCCACTAGAACGCCACTCCTCTTCCAGAGCTGAGATAGAGCGCAGGAGCCCTGACGGGGTCTCTCTCTCTCTCTCTCTCTCTCTCTCTCCATAGAATAAGGTAAGAATATATATTACAATTTTAAGGCTGTGTCCTATATGTGACTTGCCACAGGTGTCAGAATATGCTAGTGCAAGAGCTTTGCGGGTCTATTAGTTATTTAATTTCCTTTCTTTTATATAGGAATTAGATACAGTGCTCCTGCCAGCTAAGTTGTCTGCCAGAAAAGTAGTTTCCTGTGCCTTAGTGCTCCTGGATAGATATGATGTGTGTAGGGGAGAGCGTAAGGTTGTTTCCCCCTCCCCCATTTGGTGCTTGGCTTGTACTGAGCACTTTTAGTAACACTGCTGAAGCCTCCGTCCTCAGTCTGTTTCCCCCATCACGGCATGGACAGGTTGGCCCCCCACCAAAATCTGAAATGGCACCCCTGAAAAGCAGCCCTCAAAAGTTTGGAGATCACTGCTATAAGGCATATTTCCCAATCCTTCTATCATTCCTGAGACTCTTCTCTTTAAACCTCTCCAATTTTTCAGCATGCTTCTTGGATTGTGGACACCAGAACTTGACAGTACAATATTCCAGTACTGATTGTACCAGTGACAAATATATAGGTAATATCACCTCCATACTATTCAGTATTTTTGTGCTAATGCATCCATGGATAAAGCCTTGTGTGGACACAAAATTCATATCCACAAAGAGAGAGATCTAAATATATAAATTAGTATCTGTGGAGCTGTGGGACTATCAGGAACTGGGCTGCTGCTCTCAGGAAGAGTACCACCTTCTCTCTGATCTTGCTAAAGTGTGCAAGTGACTCACATGCTCCTGGACAAGAGATACAGGGACTGCTATATGGAAGGGACTCATGTCCATGAGTGTATGAGCTATTTCACACACTAGCATGACCAAGGACAACTCCTGGTAAGCCTGGCGCCTACTCTGTGGATGGAGTTGGCAGTAGTGCAGCCATGCCAGAGGAGCTGACAGTGCAAGACACTGGCTCTTGGGAACAGCTGCCTAACATGCTGCTTTCACTGCTCCAATTCCTGGTAGAGCAGATACCAATTTATATGTTCATGTGTCCGTATGTGCAGATATGAATTTTGTATCCGTGTGGTGCTCTATCCATGGATTGTATTAGGCTAACATGGATCATGTTAATGCCACAACATGACGTTATAAGTTCCTATTAAGCTGATTATCTATCATGATACTGAAGTCTCTGCCAGAGAGTCACTGATTCCCAAAATAAAGTTCCACATCATGTAACTATGGGTTTCACCTTTTGCTCCTAGATGTCTCTGCATCAGTGACCTGCCCTCTTTATTATTTACCACTCCCTCATTCTTTGTGGCATCTGTAAACTTTTTCAGTGATAATGTTATGACTGTCTTACCTCCACCCATATCATCAATTAAAATGTGAAATAGCCTAGGGCCATGAAAGACCCTATCCATGTGTGGCCCTCTAGAAACACAGCTTCTAATTATGAATCCGAATTTATAATACTTTTAGAGATCTCTCATTTAACCAGTTCTTATTTTATTTAATGTGTGCCATGTTGATTTTGTATAATTCTAGTTAATTAATCAATATTTTGTGGGATACCAGGTCCAATGCCTTACAGAAATACAAGTATATTATGTTGAAACAATAACCTTTATCAGTCAAATTTGTACTCTCATCAAAAATATCAAGTTGTTTGACAGGATCTATTTTCTATAAACCCATGCTGACTAGTATGAAATATATTACTCTCCTTACAGTGTTTATTAATCAAGCCCCATGCTGGCCATTCCATTATTTTACTAAGGATCAGTGTCAGACTGACAGGACTATAGTTATCTAGATCATTCAGTTTAGCCTTTTAAAATATTAGTGCAACATTAACTTTCCTCTTGACAGTGCTTTTTTTTGTAAAAAAAAAAAAAAAGGTGCCGGTACTCTCGTTCTTTCCAGGTAAGCTCTGACTGGAGATTCCGGTACTGTATACTGGGGAGTACCATCACAAAAAAAGCACTGCCTCCAGCCCTCTGTGATGTCCCTAGTGTCCCAAAATCTGTTGAATCCCCTCCCCCCCCCAATTTCCAGTCAACAGAATGCCTCAGCCAGTTCTTTTAAAACCCTTGGATGAAAGCAAGTGAATTATACAGACTTTACTCTAGGAATAATTCTAGAATTATGCTAGAATTTAATAGAGAATTGTATCCTTCCATGTATATTTTGAACCACTCAGTAACAGGGATATAATGATCTATAGAATAACTTTAAAAACTATAGAAAGGGGATCTTTTTTCAAGCAGAGTCTATTGGACTACTTTTCTACAATAGCAGGAAAGCTAATTTAATTTAACTGAAATTACCTGGTCATTTTCTTATATAAAATTCTTGGTACTTACAATGAGTCGGTTGATATGAATTTGCTGTGGTAATAGTCCTAAGGCTGCAGCCACTCCTTGGCGGAATATCCGAAGCAATGTGATATTCAGCTTGTTTACATCCATTTGAAGTGTCTGGAAAACAAAAACAAATGAGTTCTGTGCTCTGCACATACAGTTTTCAACTAATGACTGACCTCTGTGAATCTTGCTAATTGTTTTTCTCAAGATGATAATGTGTGAAATTGATTTGCATTTTTAATAAAGAGAAACTACAAAAGAAGTGTGTTAAATGTTGTCAGTTGAAAAAAGTCTTTACCAGAGAAAAACTTCCTTTGAAGTCAATGGAATTTTACCTGAGTAAGAACTAAGGTAAAGAATATTCCCCAGGAATCAAGGGGCCTTTTGCATGTAGATCTCTCCCTTTACATATGGAAGGAACATTTTACTCCCCCCACTCCTTATATCTTTCTGGATATCATGTGCAAAGTGAAGGCAGGAAGGAGGGAAGGAAATGTCACACTGAGTGACACTATTTGGCATTTCTACAGGAGGGGCTAATATGAAATGGAATAAGATCTTGAAAGAGATCTACCCAAATCAAATTGAACTGGTTGATTTAACTAAATTAAAATGATTTTTCCATATACAAATTGCATGTTTCTATTAAAAGCTGCCAGTGTGGCTGACATGCTCAACACCCCAGAACAAATGAGGGATGATCTGGGAGAAGCTTTCATTCAGTTCTAAGTGTCCTGTGATAGTTTCTCCCTTTCCAGATAATGTCAGCCACATTAATTAGCAGTGGGCAAGACATCAAACCACAACTGTGCCTGATAAAAAAAGAAATCATTTCTTTAAAAAATCCCCCTTTCCTTTCCTTGACACAGGATTTTTAGTCACAAAATTTGCCTGCTATAGTTTTTCATTATGAATAAACCAGGAAAATATAAATTTCCAAGAAAAATATGTAAAAAAGGAGAAGTAGAGGAAAAGGAAAAGAGATAGAAAACAAATCTCTAAATATACATTCGTGGAGTAGAACTCCTTTTTAATATTATGTCACTCTGCTATTATAGTAATTTGGTACCTAGATGCTATGATGATTGGTATTCTGTAACTACTATGATAGAGTACATAGATTAGGATAAACAGATTAGATTAGAAGAATTAAATTAATCTAATCTGTCTAGACTAGATAAATTGGGATAAAAGAGAAACATGTCTGGATTCAAAATTTTTCTGATCTCTTGGAAATCATAAAATTAAGTTAACAGTATTATTACAGAGCGTATACATTGTGGGCATTAGCATATGGCCAGTCAATATAACAAAATGTTCACATAGATTTTTAAATTATTTCTTACTCAGTTTCTGCTGCTGCTCCTTTTGCTTTGGAAAAGGAAAGACTGAAATAATATCCACTGTTAGAAAACACTAATTAATCATTTACTCTTTGCTGATCATCAGTGTTTATCATGCATTGCACCTGCTCTCTAAGGAGTATATAATTTAAAATCTGCTACCTATCCTCATTTCCCAGGCCAATTATTAATCTGGCTATTGCAAGTGTAGTGACAGTTTCTAGGTTTATATGCTCTAGGCAAAACAGTGGAGTTCTTGCCTGCAACAAATAAAATGTTTGGAAAGAGATATTTCCAAAAAAGAAAATTCAGAACAGAAAACTGAAGAAACTTTTAACATAGGGATTTCACAGGCACTTCAGTACATAGATTTTCATCCTGGGAGAATGAAATTGTGCAGAATGGGATTGATTTCACATATAGAGTAATATCTTTTCTCTATTTTAATAATTTATTTGGTCAAGTGCAAGATTTGTTGCTTAGGCTAAAATCAAATGAAGCCTCTCTGGCTTCCCATTTATTCTCCTTACAACCATCCCCTGCCTCTCAAATATACCAATATTTTTCATTATTTTGGCTCCTCCCCTCTGAACTCCAGTTGGTACACCAGCTGCTGTCAATTTCTTCCCCACCACCTACCACTGGATACTCAGATGATATCTATCAGAGATAAGTCAGTCTTCAGAAGTGCCTTTTTTCAATTTATTTTTGTTTTGTTTTAAAAAAGAGGGACCAGAAAATTGAAAACCATAAAACAGGTTATGTGTAAAAAGAAAACTCATAAATGAATGGCTGTATTTGCATTGCCATTCACTTATATATATTGGGGCACCAACAAATATTAATTGATGTACCAGGGATCACCAGAAAATTGCTGTATGACACACAGAATGAAAAAAAAAAATCCAGAACCCTCAACAGGCACATTTTTTGGAGGCACTTTTTTCATTTAAGATTGGAAGAGTGAAAACTCCCTCTCAAGTGCTTTAGTAACACTTTTGTCTTTGTTAGTTGTATAAATGGAAGATGGCTCCACAGGGGAAGATTAAGATGGATGACTTAGGAAGCAACGTTATCTGTAGTGATGAGGATTCTAATACCCCTTTCTGTGATTCATTGTGAGGACAGTTTTGGTTGGGTAGTGCCAGATCTGTTACGAATAAATACATTCCATTCATGACTCTACAGGTACGTCTGGACTACCGCGATTTGTCGACGGAAGTTTTGTCGACAGTATCTGTCGACAAAACTTCCGTCGACAAATCGCGGTAGTCCAGACGTACCTGTAGAGTCATGAATGGAATGTATTTATTCGTAACAGATCTGGCACTACCCAACCAAAACTGTCCTCACAATGAATCACAGAAAGGGGTATTAGAATCCTCATCACTACAGATAACGTTGCTTCCTAAGTCATCCATCTTAATCTTCCCCTGTGGAGCCATCTTCCATTTATACAAAACTAGGTAGTCTAGACACACCCTACATCTGAGTGTTTTCTGGACCTGGCATAAATCAGTGAGATCTGGTTTGGTACACTGAGCCAGTTTATTTTCACAACTCTGCATTCAGCCATGCTCTAACTTTTTGCAGAACAGAGGAGGGTTGAGTAGTGCATTGTTTTCATTCTGCTTGCAATATTTAAGGTATTCAGTTACAGAGACTAGATGATTGGGCTCCTGTCATTTCCTGGACACTTGAGGCATGATGTTGATTTATGATTTTGTTAGTGAATAAACCATAAAGTCGTATGGAAAATGTCAGAGCAAAAATTGCTAAAATACAAGTTGGTGCAACGGTTGGAGTTCTTATGTATTACTATATTTGATGACTCCCATGTGCATGGAGATGTCAGTATAGAAGTTCCTGAAAATTATGGTCTCCTTTGATCTATCCAGAGGATTTTTCCACAGGGTGACATTCTCAGGCTTGCCTTTGTGTCTATTTAGAATATTTCAGACAAATGAGTCTTTTTTTGCTCTGAATCAGAGCATGACATTTTCTATGTATAATTGTGTATAATAACATTCTGAAAATACTGTATCCCATGCTTAGAAATGAATTCAGAGAGAGGGCGAGAGAGAGAGAGAGAGAAATAGTTGATTTAACTTTTCCCCATTGGAAAATGTGGCCTAGTAGAAACAAATATTTTCCTATTGACTCTGAGAACATTTTCCTATGACTTTACATTTCAAAACAATTTTTTTTGTTATGACTTAAAATGTTGTGTCTGGAAACTGATACATTTTTGCTTGGGGATTTTGATGAGTCCCCTCCATACTGTCTCTTCCTCTTTTAAACTTTCTCCTCTATTTAAACAGGAAACATTTCATATTTTTGACTAAACCAATATTTTTATAAAGTTTATGCTGAATTATAAGTGTAGCTTATGATAAGAAAGTTGCAGAGCCATAATTCTATTTTACTTGCAATTTTAAATTCATATTTTCCAAATATCAAGCAGCTATTTTGATGATTAATGCATGCTCCAAATCAGGAATGTCATGGCTTTAGGTACTAGCAATTACCTAGCACTACTTATGCAAAATGTCATACATACTTTTCTATTAGGAACACAATATGGCTAGAAATCAAAATAGAAACACTTCCTGGGAACTTTATACTCTTCCAAGGCCATCAGATAATGAATGAAAATGTTGGGGGAATCTTAGGGCTGGGCTTAAAAATTATAAAAAAAACCTCTGTAATTGCAGATAAAAGGATGACATATGTTGTTTGAGGTAACTGGAAGCAGAAATTCGAAAGGCAAATGCTAAACAGACTTCTGTACACTGTTTTATCAATATGCTTGTATTCCAGTCAAGCAGTTTTCCTATAAGGAGATGGCTGAACAACACACTAGTGATTGAAATCAAACAGTTTATATTTACTTGTAGTTGACCATTTGGGAAAACTTGTTCAAAGAATACTTTTTGAGCTGAAGAAACTAACTCAACATAGAGATTACAGATTGGTTAAGTGACAGGAAATGACCTTAGATTGCTACAGTCCCATTTATTCAATATTCAAATTCTGCACATTGCACAAGTTCACACATGTTTTTGCTTTGAGGCAAAAATCTAAATTTTAGATAAAATTTAATGCTTCTCAATTTTAATGTATTTGTAAGACAACAAAGAATATTTTTCTGGAATTTGATATATTCATATATAATGCAATGAAAAATAACGTATACATATACATCCTACGAGTGCTTCGAAGGAACAGAAGAACAGAAGTAATAGAAAAGGGATGTATAAAGATAATCTAGGTCATTAACATGACAATTGACACAGTGGACATTGCACTTTCCATGTTTTCCCCCAGGGGACACTGATTGAAATGGAAACGTGGGAAATACAAAATTAATAAAAGAAAATACTATTTTTGTAGTATGTAATTAAACTGTAGCACTCTCAGGCTGAGAATTTAAGAATCTTAAAGTGATTGGACATTTATATGGACATGAAGACTACCCCATTAACATAATTATAACAATTTTTTTGTGGAAGTGATATTATTAAACATCGTGTTTCTGAGCTGAAGACAATCTCTGTACTGTTAGGGTGCATCTACAATTGTGGCATTAGCTCGAAATATGCTATGCAATTTGAGCTATGAAAATTGTGTAGCTTATTTTGTGTTTATTTTGAAATAGATTGCTATTCCAACAAGTCCCTTAATCTTAATGGAACGAGGTTTACCGTTATTACCATTTATGAGAAATAACATGCCCATTATTTCGATTGCATTTCAAAATAATGGGAGTGC